CCCCAGTGGATAATTACAGTTCTAGAAGCAATCAGCCACAGGGAGCAGCCCATGATACACTACAGTCAGCAAGTTCACTGCCAGCCTGGAAGGAAATTGCCTTTGCAGAGTTTTAAAGCCAATTGCTGTCTGTATCACCACCCCCAGAGCAGAAACAGAGGTAGAAACACTGTTGTGATGGGTTTGAACAACGTATCAGAGCAACCAAATGTTTAAAACTCCCTCTGGGTGGATCTAAACCGGAGGCATTTCTACTGTTACTGTTCAATGCAACATTAGCTACAAGCAGTTACAAGTTCATATTGACTACACATCCCCGAGCTACATACCCAAATCCATCCTTTTCAGGGGCCCAGGAAAGAGGCGAATGGCTTTCAGGTAGTTTTGCTGGAAAAGAGACAAAGGATCAGAGGTGAAGCCATGACAAGCACCACTTCCAGCAGCTCCAGGCACTGTCAGGGAAGGCAAAGGCTCAACACCCAATCAGACAAATGTGGGCAGCACTGGGCAGGAGTCCCACTCCGTGTTTAGAAAGAGAAAGGATAACAAGGAACCACTGTCTCCACCCCTTCCACCCAAAGAATTAGTCAGCAGAAATGGCAAGGAAATAAAACAATGCTGAAGTTTGCAAATTTCCAGCTCAGACATGGCATGAGGCTGGCAAAGAGCAGGAGACCAAGTGCCTATTAACATGACATGGGGAGGGAGCAGACAGGGCAACAGAGGAACCTTTCCCCAAAAGCTGATTTATCAGGATAAGACCTGACAAGACAGTTTCAAGGAGTCTTATGCTGTCCTGTAACCGAAGAGATCTGGAGTTTGAAGCCTCCTGGCCCACACTAACTCAGACGAGCATCTTACTCCTGCACAATGAGCCACTTTGCCACCAGCTCTCCCAGCCTCAGGGTGAGCTTTAACAGTTCAAGGCTTTGCTCTCCTTTCTGCTACTTCTCCTACTTACCAGCTTTGGTGGCCCCAGGAACACACACCTCTGCAGCCCCATAGCCTTTAAGGTGAGAATCATACCTAAAAGCAAGCAGAGAAAATGCTTCAGCACAGCCCCAGTAACTACTGGTAGATCCCAGGAGAAGATCCTTCTCCATGCAGCAGTGCTGAGCCTCTCCATGGAGGCCAGAACTGAGCTCAGACCCAAACTCCACATTGCCTCAGCTCTGTGGCAGTTTCAACAAGTCACTTACCTCTGCAGACAATCTAGATATCTATATATCTTTACAGTCATCATTTGGAGCAAGTTATCTGAACAGACTGTTAACCTCCTCCTCTTTTGGAGATTCCTAGAACTGTAGTGGACAAGATCCTAAGTGATCTGTTATAGCCTCACCTTGCTTTGAGGACAGAGGTGGCCACAAACTTTTGTCAGTGCATCTGGACTCAAATCAGCCTAACCCATGAACAACTCCCTACTGGCAATTCTGGGGAGACAAAGCCAGACAGGGCCTGGACCACCATGTGTTTGCACTGTCACAGAGCCCACACAGCAGCTGGAAGCACTGCAGAATTTGAGGTTGAATTTGAGGAAAAGGTTCTTCTCCCAGAGGGTGTCTGGACACTGCAACAGCCCCAAAGCTGACAGAGCTCAAGGAGTGTTTGGCCAATGCTCTCAGGCACACGGTGGATTGTTGGGGTGTCCTGGGCAGGGCAAGAGTTGGACTGATGATCCTTGTGGGTCCCTTCCAGCTCAGAGCATTCTATGACTCTGCAAAACACGTCCCACCCCTCACCAGGCACCCTGCAAAGTGCCCATCCCCAGCCAAGGAACCAGCACAGCCTCCCCCACTCACCTGGCAGCCCCCCAACGTTGGCCCAGGCCACTCTGCTGAGGAAGATGCTGTCCAGGTGGGAGATTTTCAGCCTGAGGGACGAGAGGGGAGGTGAGCAGGGGCAGGTCTAGCCCAGGGCCCCCCATACTGCTGCACTTACTTGTGCTCCTGCATAGCTCGCTGGGTGCCCTCACCGCAGTTGAACAGGTATCTGGGGGGGAAAAAGGGTGTCAGGGCAGGCTCAGTCTGACCCCTCCGGCCCCATCCTCAGCCCCACCTCGACCTCATCCCCATCCTCAGCCCAATCCC